CAATCTTATTTTTCTTTTCTCTTGTACATATAGTGTTTTAGTGAGTTTAATTATGCACACACCTTCCTTTGAGATGTTTCTTGTTTACACTTATTTTTTCATTTGTATAAGGACTTTTGGTTCTATCTTAGCTATTGAAAAGACAGGGATTTACAAATTTACTTTTTGAGCCTAGAAAAAAATAACAAATTAGTGAATTTGTTGGAAATCTTTAGTGTGGAGCTAAGGTAGTGGATGTAGACTTAGTTGAAAAGTCGAACCAGTCTAAATCTTGTGCCTATTGTCTATCCTTCTTTACTCCATTCCTAAATTTTTTTATCTGGCCTATTCACCCCTTTTGGCACATTTTCAATTAATCGATAGAGCCTAAAAAATCCAAACATTATATATTACATTTATATATTATGTATAGTTTTAAAAATATTTTTAATAATTCATAAGCTATCGTTTTATAACCTATGATATATATTAAAAAAAATATAATTTTTGCATTTTTAATATGTATATTCAATTTATTTAGTCATTTAAGTTTTATTTTTAGTATTTTTATATTTATTTTTTGTATATTTAAATAATTTATATTTTAAATTTTAAATAATTTTTATTTTTAAAAAATTAAATAAGACCTTAAACTTAAAAAAATTAACCCCAAACAAAATAAAAAATAATAATTTAGCCCATATGTCATGTCATTCGCTTGTCATCAGCCACTGTGGACCGCCATGTCAGTACTATAACGGTCAATGACGGAAAACATGGCTTTGTTTTCTAATTTGAAAGGTCATATTGAGAGAGAAAAAAATAATATTACTGCCAAATTGATTTTTCTAAAAAAGTACAAGACCTCTGTTTTTTTTTTTGCCAAATTTAAATTGATTAAATTAAAATACAAAGACTTAATCTATAATTTATCGATAGTATAAGGGCTACTTACAGAATTTGACCTATATATTACCTTTAATTAGAGTTGTAAATAAGATCAAACATATCGCGAGCTACTTGAGATTGAATCGATCAAAGCTCCAACAACTCTCGAATCAAATAGATTTGACTCGAGCTCAAACTTAACTCAAATTCTTAACAAGCTAAAGTGAACTACTTCGTACTTGATTCATAATACTAGCGAACAACTCGAATAAATAATATATTTATTATTTTATTTTTAAATCTATTTATTAATAATATTAATATTTATATATTGTTATTTTTAAAAAAAATACAATACAAGACTTTTAAGCTCACAAACTTTCAATAAGTCGAGGCTCAACTTTTTATTTCGAGTTTGAATCAAACTTTAATAATCTTAATTTTGTAAAGAGAAAATCGCCTCAGTGACCAAAAAAAAGTTATAATATACGATTTTAACCAACTTTTTTTGGATTTGCCAAAATGACCAACAAAATCGCAACGCGAAATAAAAATCGCAACGCGATCCCCAGAATCGCAAATCAGTTTCCAGAATCGCAACGCGATTCTTGAAAATCGCGATGCGATAGTACAAATTCGCATTGCGATTTTCCATAATCGCAACGCGAATATGAAAATCGCAACGCGAACACATAAATCGCAACGCGTATCCGTAAATCGCAACGTGTATCCGTAAATCGCAACGCGTATGGGTAAATCGCAACGCGTATGGGTAAATCGCAATGCGTATCCGTATATCGCAACGCGTATCCGTAAATCGCAACGCGTATCCGTAAACCGCAACGTGTATCCGTAAATCGCAACGCGTATCCGTAAATCGCAATGCGTATCCGTAAATCGCAACGCGTATCCGTAAATCGCAACGATAATCCGTAAATCGCAACGCGTATCCGTAAATCGCAACGATAATCCGTAAATCGCAACGAGAATCTGTAAATCGCAACGATAATCCGTAAATCGCAACGAGAATCTGTAAATCACAACACTGAAATTTTGGGTATATAACACTGAAATCATAAACTAAATCCCTAAATCGCAACTCATTCCATCTCCATCTATCACTCTCTCCGGCGACATCCGTTCCTATATCCAACGACATCCTTCCCCATCCGGCAACAGGTCTTAGTTTCGCATCTCGTTTGTTTAGTTACAACCATGAAATCATCTAATGTTGATCATGTTTGGATAGATTTGTGTTTTGGAGGGTCATGGGATAATGTTAATGGTGTTTTACAATATATGCCTTTACCCATAAATCTTCAACTAAAATTGTCTTTACAAAAGTTAACTTATGAAACTCTAATGCTACGTGTTTCAAATAAATTGAATTTAGAGCCCCTAAGTGGATTTAGGCTATCTTATCAGAGAAATGGTAAAGTTTATTGTTAACCGACAATGAAGATGTTGAACGATTCATTGCTTACATTAGTGTTTCACAAGATGATGTTACATTGTATGTTGTTGAACCTAGAAGTAGTATTGTTGGGTCAGTAGCGGGTAGTAATCAACTAAGTTTTTCTCAAAACCCACAACCTTTCTCTAATCCAAATCCCAATCAACTTTCAGCACCAAATTCCGGTTTTCGTATTGACCAGTTAGACGATGATGAGCCAACAGAAAAATTGTGAGTACTAGTCAGTATTCGAAATTTGGTCTTGGTCAATATCCGGACTTTGATATTGGTCAATACACGGATTTTGATGATGTTTCAGAAGAAGAAACAGACCATGCGTGTAATGATATTGATATTGGTCAATACCCGAATTTTGATGATGAAACAGCCGTTGCCGAAGAATGTAATGTTGATGATAATGAGGAGGAAGTTACGACTGTGAATGAACATGTTGAACATCCATTCTGTAATTCATATAATCCTGAAGAAGAAAAAGAAGAAGAAAAAGTCCCCGAAGAAAAGAAAATGCCACGGGCGTATAACTGGAATATGCCAGAATTACTTCAGATACCGGAAGAAGAGTTGATAAAGAAAGCAGTTGATTGTTACACAAAAGTTTTTCGTATCAAGAAAGATGATTGTTTTGATACAAAGGAAGACTTGAAGATAGCTTTATATACGAAATGTGTGGAAGATGGCTATCAACTAAAAGTTAACAAATCAAGCAAAGATCGTTTCGAAACAAGGTGTATGATTGACAAAAACTGTACGTGGCGTATGATTGCAAAGAGAATAAAAGATTGCAAAATGTTTCAAGTTAGGACTTTTATTGATAAACATACATGTTCAAGAACCCAAGTTTTTCCTCACCATAGACAGGCAAACAAAAGGTGTTGGGTGGTTTTCTGGCTGAGTTAATGTTTTTGAATGGCAGGGTATATCGGGGACATGAAATTATGACTGACATGAATGCTCGGTTCAAGATTAGTATATCATATTCTCAAGCTTGGAGAGCCAAATGTTATGCCTTGGAATTGTTGAGGGGGTCGCCAGAAGCATCGTTTGCCCAACTGCCGGCTTATTGTCACAATTTAAAGCTGAAAAATCCTGGGTCGGTAACTCATATCAAAACAGATAGAGATGGACGCTTTGAGTTGCTGTTTATCGCCATTGGTGCTACGGTTAGTAAATCAATATAATTTTGTTGACTCATTTTTGTTAGTTACATGCATTTCACATTTAAATGATTATATTTCTTGTGTATATTATTTTGTAGATTCGTTCGTTTATTACTTGCATGCGCCCAGTTATTATAGTTGACGGAGCACATTTGAAAGGTCGATACCTTGGAGTAAACTTATTAGCAGTAGCCATGGATGCTAACAATGGGATATTGCCAATAGCTTACGGGGTTGGCAAATCTGAAACCTCTGATTCATGGACATGGTTTATGGGGCATCTTAGGGATTGCATAGGTCCTATTAGCAATCTGACAATCATATCCGATAGGGCAAACTCAATTGACAACGCTGTTAGAAGGTGTTTCCCAGATGCTTTTCATGGACTTTGTGGTGTTCATTTGTATAGAAATCTAAAATCAAGGTCTGCTGGTATAAAAAAGCACAAATGGACATACTGGAAGGCTGTAAAAGCTTATCGGGAAGTGGATTTCAATAAGCATATAAATTGTTTAAGACGTGTTTTGCCTCAGTGTGCTCAAACACAGACAAATACTAACTTGAAAATCGCAACGAGAGAATAGCAACGCGAAATGAAAATCGCAACGACAGAATCGTAACGCGAAATGAAATCTAAGTGAAATGGTTAATCTATTATTGAAATGACCAGTAAACTTATCATCAGTTTCAATATGAAAAACCTACAATAATGCAAACATTTCAAAATAAAAATAATTAAAAAAACTAACCCTCGGAGGTTGATTTTCCATTTCTGAATATTGTGAGGGATTTCTGACCGTGAATGGTTGTGAGGGATTTCGCCGGAGATGGGGACGGAAATCTTCGGAGATGGGGACGGATTTCTTCGCCGTAGAGAGTGAGAGATGGAGATGGGACTGAGTTGTGATTTTAGGTTTTAGGTTATGAGTTGCGATTACGGGATTTTGTCTTAATATTCTTTTTGTAATTTGAAAATAAAATACGCGTAGCGATTATAATGGCGCTTTAAATATCGCGTTGCGATTTACGGATACGCGTTGCGATTTTATGTATTATCGTTGCGATTTACGGATACGCGTTGCGATATACGGATAAGCATTGCGATTTACCCATACGCGTTGCGATTTACGGATACACGTTGCGATTTACGGATACGCGTTGCGATTTATGTGTTCGCGTTGCGATTTTCATATTCGCGTTGCGATTTTGGAAAATCGCAATGCGAATTTGTACTATCGCATCGCGATTTTCAAGAATCGCGTTGCGATTTTGGAAACTGATTTGCGATTCTGGAAACTGATTTGCGATTCTGGGGATCGCGTTGCGATTTTTATTTCGCGTTGCGATTTTGTTGGTCATTTTGGCAAATCCAAAAAAAGTTGGTTAAAATCGTATATTATAACTTTTTTTTGGTCACTGAGGCGATTTTCTCTTTTGTAAATTCTTTTAGTCGAATCGTTACACTTTTTTTTTCGAAACGTGCCGTACCCTAAACGGGAATCCAAGGGGGGAAATCTCCCAAGAAGAGGAGCAGAGCAGCAAGTGAATCCACCAGCCGCTATAACAAGTAAACAGCAGGAGGAGGAGTTCATGGAAACGCCGTCGTTTCATCCTCAACTTGCACAACACCCTTATTTCTAATTCTAGGGTTTCCTTCTTGTTCGAAAAGGCTTGAATTTCTGTCCATCCATCAACATTGAAAAAAAAAATCGGAGCTTTTGAGATTCGGGAGGTGAACAAGATAAAAATCCATGTATCATCATAGAAATCGAGGAGGAAGATTGTCGAAATCGGAGCTAATGGGAGGACCGTTCGATCGGAAGCGTATAAACGATGCTCTGGACAAGCATCTAGAGAAGTTATCACCGTCCACTTCGAGGGGATTGAACAGCAGCAAGGAGAAAGAAAGATCCTCTGTCCCTTCAACTCGGCTTGATCAGCGCGATTCGCGATCTACACCTCTCTCCAAAGCCCAATGTTCCAATGGTTAGTTGCTTATATTTCTTTTGATGCGTTGACGTTGGCTTGTTTTTTTTCCGAGTTAATTTCGTTTTATCATGATCTGGTATTTTGAAGTGTTTTTAGGAATCTCTGAGCTGATGTGTTTGTGTGTTTGCTTGTGGAAAGTGTTTAACTTGAAAACTGTACTTGAATCTTTTCCATTTTCGAACCGAGTTGTCGAAGCCTAAATGTTTGGGATCTTGGTTTACTGAAAATAGGTTGTTTATGATGATAGCCAGTATTTATGCAATTTCAGTAAAAGCCGAATTCGAATCTGTAAATCTACTTGAAGATCCAAATTTGTTTTTTAAAATCTGAGTATTATTATCCAGATCCTTGTTAATTAAATTATGCCAAAAATCTGCTTGTAGAAGTTTAAAATATTTTTAAAAGAAATGAAAGAGGATTCAGATAATGAATGTTTAAAGGTTAACATTTGCATTTGCATCCACTCCAGATTCGCTGCATACAGTAATTAGAATATCCGAATTTGAGTGTTATATGAATCCATAAAAAGCAAGTGGATATTTGCAAATATCAGACTCTGCTCTATCCACTGCCATCGGTAGCTAGTTTAGGGTTTGTAACTTAAATATTAGTATCAGCATTTTCTGAAGCTGGTTAGATCATCAATCGTGATTAATAAGAAAGTAATTACTTTGGTTGCAGTGAAATCTGAAACGGACAGTGAAGAATCAGATCTTAGCGGTTCGGACGGAGATGACACATCTTGGATCTCATGGTTTTGCAATTTGCGAGGAAATGAATTTTTCTGTGAAGTTGATGATGATTACATCCAAGATGACTTTAATCTTTGTGGGTTGAGCCATCAAGTTCCATATTATGACTATGCACTTGATTTAATTTTGGACGTCGAGTCTTCTCATGGTAAGCATTCCATGACTCGGATTGTGTACATTTTGGAAGCTTTGATAGTTTCTTGAGGTCAAGGAGAGGCTATACTTTCCAAAATTTTAGGTCAATCTTTAGTAGATTGTTTCAGTTATTTGCCTTAACTTTCCATTGATTTGGATTTGATGAGCATTCTTTGGGGTCTAGACTTCAGAATATATAACAGTAATCTTACTGCTCTCCACAATCCACATTGACTGCTATGCCTGCTTTACGCTTTGCTTGTCGATTTGAAAATATATATATATATATTTATTATTTTTAATTTTGAGTTTTCGCAATTACTGCAGAAAGTTTGTGGTTACAATGTTTGCATCTATATGTAGCCGCCTTCCCATGTTTTTAAAGTTTAGCATCTTCACTATCATTTTTTGTCTGTTTTCTGTGCCTGTGCATTTCAATGTTTCTCTTTTTCAATTTTCAAATGTATGGCTCCTACTTCTGTTTCGTGATACACGATAGCCATCATTGCTCTTTGGTTCTTACGACTAAGTACATGTCTTTTGGGCATTATAGGCGATATGTTTACTGAAGAACAAAATGAAATGGTTGAATCAGCAGCTGAGATGTTGTATGGTCTTATACATGTCCGCTATATATTAACCACCAAGGGAATGTCTGCTATGGTAAAATCGCTGTCATTTTCTTTTTCGTTTTTGCGTTCTGTTGACTTCATAGTTCATATATTATTTACAAAGTTCAACTTTGAAACTTGTATTTCAGTTGGAGAAGTACAAAAGTTACGACTTCGGAAGATGCCCGAGAGTTTGTTGCACTGGACAACCTTGTCTTCCAGTTGGTCAGTCAGATATTCCTCGCTCAAGTACTGTGAAAATCTACTGCCCAAAATGTGAAGATATATATTATCCTCGATCCAAGTATCAAGGCAGTATCCTTTTTCATTCATTTCACCTATGTCATTTTTTTCTTTCCTATTTTTATAATTACAATTTTACTGGTTTTGAGAACTAAATTACTTGTAGTTCGGTTTCTCTATCATGTCATGCCAACTTTTTTCTAGGTAACCTACCAAAGATTCGTCAGTCTTGTGTGTTGGACTATGCTCCTTGTCCTAGCTAGGGTGCCCATGCCCATGCTTATGAGTCTCGATTTTGGCAGAGAAGGGAGTCTATATTCCCAAATGCCCTTCTGTGATGTCGTTGGGCATGTAAGAAGTCTTGTATTTTTTTGTCATACCTGCATGTGGAATCGAACATTTGCTTGACATCTTTGTTTTACTGCTTAATTTTCTTGACGTTACCAAAGATATCGACGGAGCTTATTTCGGTACAACATTTCCACATCTATTTCTGATGACATATGGGCACCTAAAGCCTCACAAGCCAACTCAAAACTACATTCCTAGAGTTTTTGGCTTCAAGATCCACAATCCCTGATGTGGTCGATACGCTAATTGCAAGCCGGAACTTGCAACACAAAGTTCTATCATCAGTCTGTGGTGATCCTATCAAAGCAGTGGATTCCCCAAAATGCAAGGTGAAGTGGGGTTCCAAAAGCAGAAGAAAAGAAACAAAGAATCGGTAAGTTTGGTTGATTGATTGATATATGAATATTGCAATGAAATATGGGGGTGTATCTCTAGGATTTACTTTTATGAACTTCTAAAGAGGGCCTTTGTTTTGTAAGCATATCTTGTTTGGAGTGACATTTTGCTCATTTATTTTCATTTCCTTTGAAAAAGAGAGGGATTCGAATTCGGGATTAGGTTTCGATAGACAACGTTATACCTACCCGGGATTCGAATTCGGGTGTCGGTCGACTACGTTAGGCTTTGAACACTTCACCAGTGACTGGACTTCTTTTGTTGATAGATTAGATTAGATGATATCCCTTCATTTGTGCTTGGTTTCTTGACTTGACATAAATGTTCCATTTCTCAACTCTACAATTCAGCTGCTTTTATGTACTCCAAATCCATGGATTATTTGAACCAGAAAGTATGAAATCTTCGGCAAACAGCATGGTTCGGTTAGTTGTTTTTTTTTGAACAAATCATCCATAATTTATGGATAGACTTAATATAAAATTAAGTGTTTAACCTATACTCAAAATTAACTTTTGGTGTCCAAAGAATTTTTAACTAAAAATAAGTGCTTAAAGTTTTATCCGTTATATTTGTAGGTGTCTACCGTTAAAAAAACCGTTAAATGACATGTGTTACGTCTAGATTTTTTTTTAATATTTTTGAATAATATATTGTTTTTAAAAAATATAAATCTGGCACGCGTCACTTAACAAATTTTTTAGCGGTAGGTATTTATTTTTAACGAAAAATTCTTTATACACTAAAATATTTTTCAAGGCATTCTTCAGGCATTTATTTTCGTATTAAGCTAATTAATCTAAAGTAATTACAAGGTAGTATTTGTTTGAAAGATTCTTAATGAGTGTTTAAACGTCCCTGTTGACGATGTTATGCTTGAACTTGTGACTTTTAGGAATAACAATAATCTTTTGAACTACGGAAATCGCTTAGTTTATATATGGAGTTAAATTTTGATCAGTATGTGTTATCGTTCTTTACATACACCGCTTATATAATATGTACTTTCGAAAGCTAACCATTATAGGAGTTGACAGTGTATCTATTCATATTCGAGAGAATCTAGACAAAAATATTATATTGAAAATGAGATTAAACAGTGATATTAAACCCAATTTTTTTTTTTAGAAAAAAATAGATTAAGCTTAAATTCTAACCTTGAAGGTCGAACAAAAACTTAGATAAATTTGTATACCATCCAGATATATATATTGATATTTAAATTTAATTTTGAAAAAAAAAATAATCATTTTAAGAAATAAAATGTTATTTTTTATTTCGTTTTAGAAGAGTGAAAATATTAAAAATGATTTTTTAAAAATAAAAATATCGGAAATTATAAAACAAAAATGTTACTTTCACTGTTTCATTAGAAATGTCTTGCAAGATTGAGAAAAAAACAAATAAAAGAAAGTTTTTTTTAACTTTAAATTTAATTAATGAACTGATCCTAGTTTAAAGTGTATAATTCATCATATATTTAAACAAACCTAATAAGAGAATGTAGTTACACAGGCCTTGATTATATTTATCCAATTCCGCCCAAATCCCATTTTTTTTCCATCATCTATCGTTAGGGGTGTATTCAGTTCGATTTTTTACTAAAAATTGAACCGAACTGTAATAAACGGTTTTTTAAAATTTAAATCGAAACCGAATGATTAAAAAATCGAAATATGTTAAACTGATTTTTTTGGTTCGGTTCAGTTCAGTAATGCGATTTTTCATAAACCGAAAGATTTAAGTTTTTTTTTTGTATTTACTTTAATTGGACATTTGGACTTACCTCTTATGGGTAAGGGTAAGTGGGTAACCGACTGGACTGACCCAAATTATTTATTCGGTTCAATATGAAACAAATAGGTTTTATATGGAAAATCCGAACAGATCCAAATTAAAAAAATTGAATGTTCAAACCAACCGAAACCGAACCGTATAAGATCAATCTAAACCAAACCGTTTTACCCGATTCGTATCGATTTTTCGGATTTCTCGATTTCGTTGCTCAACCCTATCTGCCACAAGAATTCCCATTCAACTCTATCATATGCCCTACTCATTTCCAAATTTAGCGCAAAAAAAACCTTTTCTCCCTTCCCTTTTCTTTACAAACGAGTGAAGTAGTTCATAGGCCGTAATAATGTTGTATGTGATTAAACATCCCCGGACAAATGAGCTCTGCGCCTCATCAATGCATAAATGGAGGTGGTCTTGCATCCGATGTGTCGGAATTGCGTTAACCTTTTTACCTTAGGAATTAGGATAATGTGGGTACGGTTTATTTCCTCGATACTATTTTGACCTTCTAAAAGGCCGATGCAATATTCCGAGACCTCTTGTCCTATCATGTGCCAAAATCTTTGGTAAAAAATTATCCCCAACCCGTCTTCTCCAGACGCTTTTAGTGGACTCATTGATTTCACCGAGGGATGGGTATGGGACTAGAACTCGATAGGTTTCGATCCGACCTGATCGGATTAGATTTAAAAAAAAATCGAGTTCGGGTCGGGTCGAGATTTTTTAAGTGTGATGTTCGGGTCTGGTCGAGTTTGGGTTTAGGGTAAAAAATATCTGACCCGACCCGGAAAAATATGATTTTACCTTATATATTTAGGAATAATTATAATAATATATCTATATATATAATTTTTTTCAATCAAGTCACTGTTTTTATTGAATAAAAAATAATATTTTTTTTATTATTTCGTGTCGGATCGGGTTCGGGTCGAGTGAAATCTTGTTTTGGTCGGATCGAATCTCGGGTGGAGGATCCCTTGTTCTCGGGTCGGGTCGAGTTGACTAAAAACCCAACCCATACTCATCCCTACTTTCACTGCTCTCGTAACTTCCCCGTAGGTAACATCCCGCATGAGATCATTATTTACGTCCTCGGATTAACTTTGTGAAATCCCAGCCGAGAATTCTTCATGTACTGATTCCGATTTGAACAATTCCTTGAAATAATTGCTTGCTAGTCACTGAACATGGCGCATCTGGTGAGTCATTTAGTTGTCTTAAAAGATCCCAAGATTCCTGTCTTCTGCTTTCCTCTGAGGTGCCATAAAAGCCTGTGCATCGCCATTGTGCTCCTTCAGTGTCTTCATTGATCAAAACGTCAATGTGTGACCTTGAGAAAGATTTTAGGGTGATCTGAATTGAGTTTCTCCATGCCAACCAAACATAAGCCTCCCCTGCTCCCTACTGAATTTATCTTTGTTCCATTCGCAAACCCCGCTGCTTTCCTTACTTTTTCCGTGCGCGAGTTCTGTAATTTTGTCTCCATGAGAAAAATTACGGATGGGTTGACGTCGCTCAGCGTGTGCCGGAGACGCCTAGCCGTCCTAACGTTACCCAAGCCCCACACGTTCCAACTAAGGATTTTCATTGCGTCCGGCTGGCCTGAATATCTTGATTTTGTCGTTCGCAGAATCTGATTTTGGTGAACTGGAAACTGTTGATTGAGTGCTTCTTTGGCGTTTGACTGATTCTTCCTTTTTATATTGTTATTACTTGAAATCTCACGTTCGAACACCAGAAATATCATAGTATGAGTGTTCAATATCAAATAATTAAGAATTATTTTAATTTATGCAGCCTATTTTAGAGATTCAATGCTATTTGAAATCGCATGCTTTATAGTATCAAATTATTCGACAAACACAAAACATTGTTTTTCATTAACCTACTCAAAATGGTTATGGGTCTTTTGATTTTTGTTATGGATGTGCATCAATCAGGTTAGATCGAGTTTTCCTCAACTCAGCCCAAAAATTATATATCCACCATTTAATTCACCTTTTTGAAAAAAAAATTTAAACCCATTTTGACCCAAAATAATATATTTATAAAAATATTATTTTTATTTAATAAAAAATAAAAAATTAATTAAAAAATAATATATAAAAAATATTATTATAATTATCCTTAAATATGATAAAATTACATATATTTTTAAGTCGGGACGAAACCCATCGGGTCTCGTGCCCATCCCTACTTATACTCAAATATATTACAACATTACTTTTTTACTTGTGTTCCTGTTCAAAATATCTATGATAAGGTACAAGTTAACATTGCCTTTTTACATAATGTAAAAATTTGACCTTAACATTTCTCTGAAGTCTGAATGAACACTTTGGTTCCTATTTCTAAAAGCAATTTATCCCTCAACGTTTTTATTTTGACCAAAATAATCATTTTACATAAGAAAATTTGACCAAAATAATCCTTTTACACAAGAAAACCGTTAAATGACTATCGATAAGGCTTAAGAGCTTAGAGAAAGAATTAAGGACCAAAGTGACCATTCAAGCAAAAGTTTGGTGCAAATTTTACTATTATGGGTTTTTCCCTACTTTACATATCATTAAAGCAGTCCAAAAGCAAGTGCATCATAATAACAGTAATGACAACATTTTACATTCCCATTGTGTGATAATTCTGACAAAACAGCTTTATGCCACGCATGAGACAGCAATAAGACACTAGCTGTTAATTTAACATGCCTGACATGAAGGATGGATAAAGGGTATAAAAAGCATGTATACATGATGATGATGGCACCAATTTCCCAATTAGCTTTTAATTCTAATGTCAAGTACAATTTTGTAAAGATGAACAGGAGGTGAAACCACATCATGTCAATGTAAAATGGGAACTAAATTGGTTTTTCAATGACGAGAATCATGCATCATGTTATGTCATAATTTTTCGTCTTAACTCTTACTTCTTGCAATAACGATTCAAGTTCTGGTGATCAAATAGCAATCAGCATCAAAAATCGAGCTCCAATGATTAGAGATCAAACCTGAGAACCTGGGTGCTAAGTTCAGCCCTGTGTTTAGGGCTATACTAATAAACAAACTTCTCTAAAATACTCGATTTATTAGGATGTGGTGGTCGAAAGTCCTCCAATCGCAAACTCGAAGTTGCTAGGATTTCATTTAAGTAAGAGTCTCCTTTGTTGGTCTTAATTGCACCCAAGGTGCTTCCAAGAACATCGGCAGCAAGCCCTGTTTCTAGTAGTTGACCTGGCTCCTCCCCGCCATCATGTATTA